ATGGAGAGACCAATTGGAATACAAATAATAAAGAAAAGGAACTTGCTTTGCTTTGTAAAATGCTCATTTCTCAAGTCCAAGATGCCACCAGACGAAGCTATCGAAGAACTCGTCACGAAAATTTTTAATTATGATCTTTGTAGCAGCAATGCCACAGAAGTCACAGAAGTCATCTGCCATTCTAAACGGGTTCTAACAGACTTTTGTAGTAAATTTAATTATAAAGTTAATACAAAAGTCAAGGAATTCAAAGAAATAAGAAGAAGTTAGCTGCGCCAACAAGGATGGATATCGAAAAATTTATGTCAGTTAAAGCCGTTGAACGAATATTAAACAGATACTTAAAGCAATAAGACCAAACTGAAAAGGTGCGGCACTATGGAACAGCTGATTCTACTTGTTAGGGAGGCATTTAGAATTCATCAGGCTATTAAGGGTCTTGATATTAATTATCACAAGAGATCTTGAAATCCCAAGCAGGTAGGTAAAGAGATTGCCTTAAAGATTTCGTTAGAATGAAGCAATTATATATAAAGAAAATTTTAATGTTATGTTTATTCGAACATTTTAATTTTATATCCATTCTATGTAAAAATATTTGTTATTTGCGAAATTTTGCATAATTTGATTTGTGTTAAAGAACACATTTTAATACGTTTATTTAATTCATTCTTTATTATCATTCTTTATTTACAGCACAGCTTTATAATAACTAGTACTAATCCTTTTACAACTTATAATATTCATTTAAATTGAACAGGTTCAAAGAACCCCGTAAAGAAACTTATGACGGAATTCGCAGCTGATGAGACGTGTGACGAAATCTTTAAGCATTTTAATTTTTATTGTTATACTCCGCTTTTCCTTCGAACTTTTCAATTTCAAAAGCATCAATGCATTATATTAACGACTAATTATATTCTGAATAAAAATTTGATTTTAAATGTATTAGGTAATTTTAAATATAAAACATTATTTCGGATATTGTATGTTCAGGAATAGAGTTTTGGTCATCTAAATAAGCATTTTTATGTTTTCAGTACAATACATATTAATTAAAAAAGTATATATATATGTATTAAAATATTAAATTTTTATTTAAAAATATATTAGATATTTCGATCAGGACGTCAAGTACTAATATTGCGTCAAGTAATATTTATAATTTTAAAAAAATTTTTTTTATGTTTTTAAGCATTACAAGTTAAAAAAAAAAATAAGAAAATAAAATAAGAAAATAACATTTTATTTTCATTTTATTTCGAATTAAAAATACATATATATATATATAATTTTCTTTTTAAAAAAAAAAAATTTCCGTAAAAATTCAAAAAATAGTCGTGTTGAAATTTTTTAAAAAAATAAAATTAAGAATTAATTGACGATCCTTATCACCTCCGTGTAGCCAATATAGAGTAATAAGGTAGAAATTAGAAAGCGAAAAATAAAAAAAAACCGCTAGCAGTTGACTATGTAGTCACATGATGGTCACATGCTAGCGGCATTGAAACTGCTATTTCGGGGTTTCAGTAAAGAAAGGCATCCTTTTGAAACATTCATTTGCGGGTTGAAAATTAGCGTTAGGAATTAACGTTGGTAAAAGAGGACGAGGTGTGACAATGGTGGTAGTAGTAGTACCAACAGGTGAAATGAGTAATATTAGGTAAGACGATAGTGGTAGTAATACCAGATTGTTGGACATCTTGATGAGGACCAAAGTCAATGATACTTGTGCCAGGAATTTCGGGTTATTGACACGACGTTTTAAAGTCTTTTGATATGTGGTCCACACTCCTTGGATCCGATTGACAGCGCGGATCTTATGGAATTTTTTTTCCAATAACTTTTGGCAGTTTGATCATTTAAATTTTTTCGGACGTTTTGGAATTGTTTTTAACTCATTGATAAATGCACCTCTTTCCTTCCTGCCTGAAAGGGCCATTCGTAAAAGAAGAAATAATATATTTTTATGTTTTAGTTTTATTTTTTTTAAAAAAAAAAAAAAAAAAAGAGCAATCCAAAACATAAATTTTACGTTCTGCGAGGGTTAAGTTTATAATTCCACCTAAAATTTATGATAAAGAAAGTCGTGAATAAAATGTCGTGAAAAAAAATTTTCTGCTATAAATTGTTGATAACTTACCGATGACTTATTTGCTCAGCAGTGAATTTAGGAATGCGGCGACTCAATTCCAAATACGGATTTCTAATATTTCTCCCTTCACTTTGCATAAATTCCTTGATTTGAAAATCAGTCTGTATAATAAGAAAATAAGTGTTAAATATATCTAATTTTTTCTTACTAATAAAAAAAAATTATATTATTAAAATAAATTCGTCAAAAATGAATTACTAAATTAATTTAATCGGATTTTAATATTTTTTTTTTTTTTAATTAATTTAAATTAACTGTTTTATAGGAATTCAAAATCTTTTTGTAGATTGCTTGTATAAAAAAAATTTTTCTTTTCTTCATTAGAGAGCGATATTTGTGTGTCATCTTAAAAGAAAAATTTTTTATTTTATCACTTGAATTAGTGCATATGTCTAATAAACTTGTTTTTCTGCTCGTAAAATTATGGATTTTTTTTAAATTTTATTTTTATGCCGATCATACCTCAATTTATACCCAAAAATTCAAGAAAAATTAGACTTTTTGAAATACTGTATATCGCAAATAAATGGGTCAACGAATACTGTAGATATGTATATAATTATTTATTTTGGATTTTTTTGATATTATTTAAGAAGTCTCTCATCATATATGGACAAGGTTTTTTATTTTTACCAAATCAAGTAACAATTATACACCAATTGGAAAATTTAGCTTTTATGAAGGTCGTCACTTTACCTTTTTTTTTTATTATATTGCTTTTTAATCTAAATTTCTTTTACTTTTTAGGGTTAAATTATTTTAAGGTTCATTGGGCTTTTCTGTTTCAGGTTTTATGATATCGATTCTTGGAATATAATAAATATCAATCTGATCCTTTGAGTTCTTTTCTTTGTAAAACGTCTCTTGATTAAAAATAAACAAGGTCCCGCATTTATGAAACAACCGTTCATACATTTGTCATTATTGGTCGAGCGCTTTTTAAAGAATTTCCCCAATGAAAGGAAATGTAAGAACGCCAACGTTATAAACACAAAAGTATGAAACAATAACAAAAACAGGTTATTAAAGAATCTATACCTCATTAGGTTGATATTGAACGTAGTTTTACAGAATTTGAAATGAAATTCGTTTTTTTAGGTCTTGACGTAAGCTATATTTCCATGTTGTGTCATATTAAAATACCTTCATAATTAAATGATTAATCGTCAATCATTTTACAATGAGAAACGTTTTATAATTAAATATTTTTATGTTATGGTTATTTTCCCTACCCCGTTATTTAATAAAAGTTGAAAATTGAAATAAATTTAATATATTTTTTAACATATTAAATACATTATATATTATATAATGTTTGTGAAAGGGAATTTTAATGAAGTACAAATAAAGCATAGCTTGAAATCTGGATTGGAGATGAAACGTTACAAGATGATAAGCTTCTACATTTTTGGGTGCTATAGAAAATTTTGAGTAACCATAGAACAGAATTCGTCATCAAATCAATTTTTTGAATGGTGATTCGAATGTATGGTCATGTGTAGTTGTCCATACCTGTTTTGTTATGTAATATAGGGGAATCTTAACCTGTTCGAGTATACCGCAGTATGGATTTTTACGTATGGATTTTCTAAAATTCGTCGCAGCTATATTGCAATTCATATTCTATTCATTTTATGAGTAGACAATTAAATGAAAGGGTTTTTTATAGCAGAAACTAGGGATGGTTACGGTCGGTCAACGATCGGTCAACAGTCGGTCAAAAGTTTGACAGACCGTTAACTGACCGAATTTAATTACCGGTTGACCGACCGGTTAATAGTAATATAATTGTCAGTCAAATATTATAATTTTGATTCTTGCTTTAAAAATTCTAGCGTGGCATTTTTTTAAACTACTTTGTCATTTTTGATGCGCAGCATTATCGCGAAGTTTAATTATTTTTTTTTAAGAATTTGTTTCATAGCAGTTGGAATTTGAACTTTAAAGTGTGCACGTCATCTGAAGTGACAAATCAAAAATTTTCCGACAGAATCCAAATAAATAACTAGGTTTATAAATCGGAATTACGGACCGGCAAAGATCTTCTTTTTCTTTAAATGAATTGCAATATAAACAAATACAAAAAAGATGTAACGTGTAATACAACTTGATAATACTTAACCTTTGTTTTTAAAGAATAAATCATACATACCGGTATCCAACAAGTTTATTTATTGTGATTTTTTTTTTTTCAAACGAGGGGGTTTATTTATTTTTAAGGAGATGTGGATAAAAATGATTAGATCAGACTATCACTTGCGCCACGATTCGGTCGGAAAATTTTGGATTTGTTACTTCAGATGACGTGTACACCGTCATGAAACAAGATCATCATCATGTTTGTTCACAATGAATCCTTTTCGTGGGTAAGACTTCCAATTCTTTATTTTCAGTTTTGTTTAAATATTAGATTTTCTGTATATAAATTTCAAACCAAACCATACCATATTTAATACTATCGAATGGATAAAGATATATTAAAAATAAAAAACGGGTTAAATATGTTATTAAGAAATACTGTATACTGTGATAAATCATCAAAAATCAATATTGCATGTAAGTTTCTAAAACTTGTTTCAATTCCCCCAAGATGTTTCATTTATTAGTCTCCGTATTTAAGTTTCCAAAAATGCTAAAATTATGAAATTATAAATATCAAGGTAATTGAAACATGGCTGTCTGCTTTCCTCTATAATTCCTACCCAACGAACAAAACCTTTATAATAATAATTAATCTTTTGTCGTTAACTCGTCATTTTCATCGTTCTCTTAATAATTTCCATTATCAAGGCATTTTCATAATGAGCGAAATAAGCGAGTTGAAGATCATTCCATATACCTCTAAAGATTATTACGCTTCCAAAAACCAACAAAAAAAAAGAGAACCAAGTATGTTTATGTCCTTCCGCAAGGAAAAGATGAAGAGCAAGCCTACAGATATTTCATTTGCCGATTATTTTGACGAGGTGACCAATTTATGGAAATGTATGTCGGAGGTCGAAAGATCTGAATGGCAAAAGAACTACAATAATAATCAGGACAAAAAGTTACGCAAAGATCATAAAATTGAAAATCGTTTTTGTCGTGGAAAATCCACTAAAACAAAAACAAAAACAAAAACAAGAACCAACAAAATTTCCATCAAAGATAACAGCAAGTGATCTTATAGTTTATTTCTCAATGATTTTTTTTTTTCTTTTAAATGATTGAATTTTTTCCTAAAAAAAAAAAAAAATTTTATATTTGCAATAACCTCCTCCGTTCTTTACCTATTTTATCAATTCTTTTTCATATTATTATATTTATTATAGAACTTTTTTTTTCTTTGATAATTAACAAACGAAAGAAAGAAATTTAACCCTCTGAATTTTTACAAGTCGAATGAACGAAAGATTTTATTTTCGTTACATTTATTGGTGTTTTATATTGGCGTTATAGTTATTCTTCATAACTATTCTTTTAAATTTATTATGACACGCAAAATATGTATTGTTAATATAACTTAGGTTATTCGTTTGTGGTATGTAAAATTTTGGAACATGGAACGTGACATAAATAAATTTACATTTTTATAAAATAATAAACTTTCAATAAAATTTAAAGTCATGATAGTTAAAAAAAAAAAAAAAAAAAAATTCCAAACGTACGTATTGAGATCCAAAATCATTTTTCTGTAAAGTATTACAATTGCGCTTTTTGTACAATTTCAATTGAATATGTGAGTTGTTTGATGTCTTGTCTCAATTTAATCCAATATGTTTGAAATGCAACGAATTTAACGCTTTTTTTTAAAAATTATATATTGTTCGTAAAAACTTTGTGTTACTTGAATTTTTTTGGTGCGACCATCCATTTTACAAAAATAAAAAAAAAAAAAAAAGTAGTATTTACCCCAAAAGTGAAGGGGGTTCGTTCTATAATTCTAATCGGACAAATATTTTTTTTACTAAAAACCAATAGTGTTTAGTAATCACTTTCAATACATCAAACCAAGTGAAACTTTTGATAGACCACCATCATCCGTTCATTTGAATTTTTTAGTGGTAAATTAATCATTAGACGTGGAACTTTTGGTTCTACTAATAGAACTACGGGGGATAGTTATAGTTTATATTATTTATATTTTTAAAATTTAATAAACCTATAACAGTGCGCAAATAGTTAACATTCATGAGAAATACGTATTTCCGGACAAATTTATTTCTGTTCCTGATTTAGTTGTTGGAATTGCATCAACAAGCGGAAGTGGAGTTAATGATGATTTAAACGTAAAGCTTCATAATTTGGAAACAGGAGCGCAATTTCAAATGAGCAACAATTCAAACAATCTTAGTTTATTTTTGAACGGATCTAGTGTACAAGCTATTAGTTGATTGTACCTGTAAAGAACCATCATATATATAAAAATAAAGCATGTGTGCAAAATAACGAGTTATTAGTTTTGATATCCAATAGTAAATTACAAACAATATCGTAGCACCTAACAATCAGAATTTAATAATGTTTAGCTCATTAGCTCTGTCTTGATGAGAGTGATTAGTATTTTGTTTCTATATAAGAAACCATAGATACACGCGATCTGCTGCCGTCACTGGTGCTAAAATCAAAAGGACTTTTAGTAGTGTCTAGACTATTTTCTTCGAGACACACATATTAAATCATTTTTTTAATTAATATTCGATAAATACAAGTTTTTAAGAAATAAATACATAATCCAATAATGAGCCATGGCCTCGTCACCTTAGCGATAGTATTCGAAAGACTGATTAACCGAAACTGTCAATTTTATAGAAAACTGTACATTAACAATTATAATATTAAAATCACGTCTTAATAACCCAATGTCCAAATAAAGAATATTTTTTTTAGCGATAATTCGAATCCTCTCTTTCACACACAATTTCTAATAAATTATAATGATCAAATAATAGCAAAGCGCATTTGTGATTCAAAGTCGTAAGCAGCACGACAATTAAAGTCAATAAATTGAGCTACATGACGCAACGACTAAAGGTAATCTTCCCTCAAATAATCAATAACAATAATAAAATTTTTCTACCCTATTTTTGTGAAAGTATAAATCTCACATATGTATGCTTAAGAAATATTGCATGTGTGTTTTTATTCTTTGCGTTTGCACCCATAATTTCGACATGGATCACCATGCTTTGTTTACTCTTCAAAACTTTGTTCATTTGCCGGCAGGCCCCTAATTTCCTTTTCGTAAGTTTCAAATTATTACACCAGTAACATCATCCAAAGTTTATATATTCATGTGACTAGTGAATTTGTGAGCAAAAAAACGATAGCAATTTAATAAAAACTCTTAATGAAGCAGCAAATTTTCACATTGAAACAAAGTAGCGTGAAAATAATTTTAGTTTATAATCTATCATTGATGTATTTGTTCAATACAGGTCATTTCGCATAATTTTGGTCTGTAAAATGATAGAACTATAATCATTAAGATATAAATAAATGTTAATAAACGATGCGATGTTAAGCGGTCATAAAATAATTTGAACAATTTTAATTCTAATTATATAAAATGTTACATTCTCGGATTTCCTTTTGATGGGCAAATTACTTGAAAGTTAAAATTTTCTTATTGTTAACGTTTACTTTTTTGAAAAATGTTTAAAATTTGCGTTGGTATTTTTTTCTTAACGTTAATTTCAAATACATTAAATTTATTTGATACTTGATAACAATAATCCTCAATATTTGAATATAGAATTCTTTTTCCTAAAGATGTAATTATTCTTTGACGTAATTCTTCAGATAAAGGTTGAAAAATGCTAATTGGATTCTCTAAAGATTTAGCCCAGGCTGTTTCATCAAAATCACCATTGGGTTGTTGTCCTCCAATTAAATACGTATATTTTTTCTTCGGTGTAATTGTATTTTCTTTTTGAATTCTTGGCACCAAATCCTATCTTTGTTTTAAGAATTTCAGAAAAGTTTGCCAAAAAGCAATCTCTTTATCTTTCTCTTCAGAATGTTCCTTTGCAATTTGTTTCCCTTAAATATACTCTTCCGCCTAATATAACTTCAGTTGGAATGAATTCCCCGTAATCTTTAATAATGCTCTCAAAATGCTCTCTAGGAACTTCGGAGTTTATGGCACTTTTCACCTTCCCTCAAATTCTTCAGTTGGTTTCAAAGAACTTTTATCAAATTGCAAAGATACTTTACAATAAATTGTGAAGCTATATGATACATTAGTTTCAAAATTCGAATCTTTATTTTGTGATTGTTCGTAAGATATTCCCAATTTACAAGATCCACGCTAATGTCGAAAAATAGATTCGTCTTCGCCATCCAATCTTCTTGCGATTTAAATTCATGATC